AAACCCACCCTTTCACTGTCGAAACGGTTAAATGTAGTCGTCTCTTCTACTCCAATAGCTTCATGTCTCGCACTTCCCGTCTGTTGAACTCCTTTCTTCTTACTTGCTTCCCTGATAGCTATAATCTCCAAATATTCAAATGCAATGTCAATCGACATCTCCAGATGCCTTTATCTATTCCCCGTCCTTCTTTTCATCCTTTTCTCTTTCACGCCTCTTTACTCTTGCTCCCACTCTCTGTAACCCCTTGCGTGCTAGTGGCACACCCGCCTTGCTTGTGGTGAAAAGCTTTAAAAAAAGGTTATGAAAAGTGGATTGTTTACAATTATGTGGAGCGAAAAGATCCTTTACAAAACGAAAGGAGCCACGCCGTTACCCCTTCTATAATCTGGTCTGCACCGAAGATCGTGATGCTGTTTAGATGAAAAGCAGCTGGAATTAGCCAATCGAACGGGTATGGTCTTCAATCAACACAACGACAGAACTTACCCCAAATTGTCAGAGTCAGCAGAAACAGTCACAACTCGGTTGGTATGTCCTGTTACATTTACCGTTTACGCCTGACCTTTCACCTTCGGATTACAATTTTCGATCCCTGCAAAATTCTCATGATGGGAAGAACATAAATATTTTGGAACCCTGTAAAAACCACGAAGACCAGTTAATCGCAAAGGTTAGGCACGTCAGCGTAAATGACGGTTCCGTATAGGATGCAGGTTCGAATCCTGTCAAAGAACGAATATTTTCTATGAAAATTTCTCGGACATTCAGGCCGGTAAATGTTATTTAATACTGTTTATCATAAACAGAGCATTTGCTTAAATACTTATATCTATAAATAACAACGTTAAACATAAAAAATGTATTCAATATATATATATATATATATATATATATATATATATATATATATATATATATATCCGTTCATAATTAGTAGGGTATTTCCAAAGATAACATGAATACAAAGATAGCTCAATGTAAGTAACAGAACAAAAAACAAAAACAAAAAAAAAAAACAATATTTAAAAATCAATTCGGTTATACTTTATTTCATGACTATATACAAATATCACTCTCTTCAAACCGAAGTTTTTTTTATAATTAAATTTAATAAAAAACCCAAAAACTTTGGTCTGAAGAGATGAATATTTGTATGTATTCATGAAATAAACTATAACCGAATGGATTTTTAAGGATCGTCTGTTTATTAGTTCTTGAAAATATATTTTCAGTTTAGCCCTGTTGAACGACAAGCTAATTCTAAAAACAACGGTCACCTTCGTAAATGCGAAGCTCTTCAGTAAAATGAATGGAGCACTTTGGTTGCTTGTCGTTTGTTTCCGTTTGTAAAAACAATAGGCTAGATTTAGGAGACGCATTCTGAGTGAAGTTGGCTCAGTGGTCGAAGCTCTGACTAACACCAAATCCGTTGGGTTTCGATTCGGGTTTGAGGCATTCGGTTGTCTAGTTGCACTAAGGAGCTGTGATACAGAAAAACAGTCCTGTCTGCGAATGACACACGCACACATATATATGTATATATATATAAAGAAAAGTTCCAATGACTATTGACCGATTTAAGAGTTTACGGCCAAAACGCTTATCAGGGACAGATGTTTGATAAATCGAATGAACTTGTTATCAAATTGATATTCTTTTTGAGCGGGCGAACGTTAATTCTAATTTTTAAATTACAAATTCTTATCTTAATAAGGAAGAATTGAAATTGATAGTTTCCATAACTATAAATATTATTAATAAAATATATAAACAATACATATTATTAATAAAATACATAGACTATAAACTTTAAATATTATTAATAAAATATATAAACTATAAATATTATTAATAAAATATGGCGGTCTGTAATAAATACAAAAATCCATCGCTATGTCTATGGGAAATATTCTGACGAGATAGATTCCTGAGTTCCACCAGTTCAAACCTTTTATAAGTAAGATCCCCAATTGTTATATTCGCAGAGGTGAACCATTCTCATTTCATTTTTTTTTGTTTAAAATAATTAATTCATTGATCCAGCCATACATTTTGATGAATTTTCTTCTGTGGTCTGTAGACTTTGTGAAGTGCACTATTAGACTGGCGGTATGGTCTCATCATTTTACAACTGAAAATAGCTAAATGTAATTGTAATTTGCCAACGAGTTCTTCGTCGTTTGTTTCTTCTCGATTGTTGAACTTTCTTCCAGCTCGGCAGATTTTTGTGGCCTAGCATATGTGCTGATTCCTTAAGTTTACGAAGTTTCCAATGGTGATCTTTGTCTATGATTTCAACCTGATCCCACAGAGGACGGTGATCTTCCTTTCCTCTCCATATGTGGTCAACCACGCCTGATTTTTCCACCTCCCCTCGTGACCAAGCATAGAAATGAATACAATATGGGAACCAGTAATAAGGAGTACCAGAGAAAAGCAATAATAACAACAAAAATTGCAATATGATCTCTGGTAAAAACATGCAATGATAACAGCAAAAATTGCAATATGAGGACAAGTAAAAAACGGTTGCTGAAGACATTAGGCATTTAATACCCAGAAATTCATACACCGATGTCCTCAAGGACATATGGCACTGTGGATAAAGTGACAGGACCGAAAGAGTATGAGTTCAATACCTGGTTAAGGCAGTGGAGAACTTGGAGAGGGGAATTAACAGCAGATAACTGATAACTGACATCCATTAAAAACATGGTACGTGGAACTAGAACAGTCTACCCCAGTGAGCGAAATAAAGGGTTCAGTTCGACATTCCAACCACCTGAAGGCCGGAGCATACAACGGCCGAAATTTTGTAATAAATATAGCGACAAAGATGAGGACAATAGTCCGAATAATGTAAATAGTGTACATAATACCTGATCTCAGAAATATAGACAGATACTGAAGGGCCGAATCGTTGTAATAAATATGGCGACAAAGATGAGAACAATAGTCCGAATAATGTAAATAGTGTATGTAATACCTCATCTCAGAAGTATAGACAGATACTGAAAGGCCGAAACGTTGTAATAAATATGGCGATAAACATGAGGACAATAGTCCGAATAATGTAAATATTGTACATAATACCTCATCTCAAAAATATAGACAGATATTTTCCAATTAACTTTGATATCCATAAGTTTATGTGAAATGTCAATTGTTATCTGCTCTCCTCCTGATTACTCTTCTTTTATCGAATGTATAAAAAAAGAAAAAAAAAAGATTGATCAACTGTAATATCAAATCCTCTCGGACAAAGAAGCGATTTGACGCCAGCTAGATGTGTTTTTTTTTCTTTCTAAAGACATTTCTTTCACTCACTGTATCACCTTCTATATTAGTGGTATTATCGCCTTGCTTGGGGGGAATTGATAAAAAAAAAAAAAAAATCAAACCTTCCCGACATCGCAGGTACACTGGCGTGAATCATTTATACTGCCTTCATATTTTGTTACTAAGTGCGAATTTCAATTCGAGCAGTTTTTTCGCAACAACTGCAAATTTGTAGAAGATGCTTCCCCGATCGCTACAATCTTAACCTCTTCAATTCCAGAGTCAACCTACATATCCTCATAATCTGCACTTCCCTTACGTTATCCAACAACCTCATTTAATTACACTCTGTCTTGATTGGTTCTCGGGCCTTGTATTAGGTGAATTAGTAAAATTAATAAGAAAATTCTATTCTATCAGCTTCTTTCCAAAAGTCGTTACTTTGTGAAATAGACTCCCGAGAGGATGCTTCCCCGACGACGGCAATATTAACTTCTTTAACCCTGTGTCTTTTTTACAAATACTTTCATGGTAACTGCTCCAATGAGCTGCTTTTGCTTGTTCCCAGATTTCATGAATTTAAGCGTTCTACTAGGCTGGCATCTCGCTCTCACCCTTTCACTGTCGAAACTCTTAAATCTAGCCGTCTCTTCTACTCCAATAGCTTCATGTCTCGCACTTCTCGTCTGTGGAATGCCCTCCCCTTTTCCTGTTTCCCTGATAGCTATAATCTTCAGCTATTCAAATGTAATGTCAATCACTGTCTCCAGATGCCTTGATCTATCCTTTATCTTTCTCTTCATCTTTTCCTCTATCGCTCCGCTTTGTTCTCGCTCCAACTCTCTGTAACCCCTTGCTTGCTAGTGGCAAGTGCTTGGGGTGAAATGCTTAAAAAACCCAAAAAACTCTAGGTTCAAACTCTAGGATATACTCGTCGGCCGGCTTCAACTAAACAACTCCGAGGTATCTGTGTTGACAGTCCTGGTGACATATTTACTCTGACCTCTTCTGTAGACGCCGTATGGTGTGCCGCTGCTGCCCTACAATATGTCGATCTGTACTATGTGACCATCCAGAACCTGGTCTACTTGTGTAGGAATCATCATTTGACCACTATCACCAACATCGAAACCGGCAATCCGACTCCAGACATATCGAAACTTAGAGCATGTGTTACCATCTAAAAGAAAGACACAGGCGATGTCCTGATATGAGTGTTACAGCATCACAAAATGGCCGAAGACTTTAAAGAAATCTACTACACTTCACTACGCATAGAATGTGTCCAGGTAAAAAAAAAGTTTCTGATTTTTAATATTATTTTTCGTCAGTGAAGTTGAAAATTTTAGCGAATCCTCAACGTTATCAGTTTCTTCGAAAAGGTCAAAATCTATGAATGTTATCAATTATAGATGTTTATTTTGCGCATCGAAGCAAGGACAACTTTGTGTGAATGCTGACATCAAAGAGATCAGGTTGTGAAAGAATAAAATTTAATTACGAAAAGAAAAAAAAAAAAACCCTGTTGGGTGGATGTGCCTATAATTAAATTGGATCTCAACCTGTTACTTTTAACTTTTTTTAATTACTTTTTCCCTTTTTTAATGAATAATAAGATCAGTCTTTTCTCTCCATCTTTCTTTCCCCCTCTCTTTCATATATAAATATATATATATATATATAAAGAGAGAGAGAGAGAGAGAGAGAGAGATATGAACAGGGATAGATAGATAGATAGATAGATAGATAGATAGATAGATAGATACGAACAGAATGAGGTAGATATGAACAGACTGAGGTAGATAAATAGATATAGATAGATAGATATGAACAGAATAAGATAGATAGATAGATAGATAGATATAGACTGAGACAGATGAACAGAATAAGATAGATAGATAGATAGATAGATAGATTAACAGATAGATAGATAGATAGATAGATAGAAACCAGGAGAGATAGATAGATATAGATAGAAGATAATGACCATAGATAGATAGATAGATAGATAGATAGATAGATAGATAGATGATAGATAATGAAACCAGGAGATGAACAGATAGACATGAAAATAAATGAATATAAATAGATTGAGATAGATAGATATGATAGATAGATAGATAGATAGATAACAGAATGAGAAGATACCAGGAGATAGATATGAGATAGATATGAAGAGATAGATGGAAAGATAGATAGATAGATAGATAGATATATAGATATGAACAGACAGAGTAAGATAGATTGATAAATAAATAGATATAAACAGATTGAGATAGATAGATATGAACAGATTAAGATAGATAGATATTAACAGAATGAGATAGATAGATAGATAGATATGAACAGAATGAGATAGATAGATAGATAGATAGATAGATATTAACACAATGTGATAGATAGATAGATAGATAGATAGATAGATATGAACAGAGTAAGATAGATTGATAAATAAATAGATATAAACAGATTGAGATAGATAGATATGAACAGATTAAGATAGATAGATATGAACAGAATGAGATAGATAGATAGATAGATAGATATGAATACAATGAGATAGATAGATAGATAGATAGATAGATATGAACAGACAGAGTAAGATAGATTGATAAATAAATAGATATAAACAGATTGAGATAGATAGATATGAACAGATTAAGATAGATAGATATGAACAGAATGAGATAGATAGATAGATATGAACAGACAGAGTAAGATAGATAGATATGAACACAATGAGATAGATAGATATAACAGAATGACAATGAGATAGATATGATAGATAGATAGATATGAACAGAAATGAGATAAACAGATAGATTGATAGATAGATAAGATATAATAACACAATGTGATAGATAGATAGATAGATAGATAGATAGATAGATAGATAGATAGATATGAACAGAGTAAGATATATTGATAAATAAATAGATATAAACAGATTGAGATAGATAGATATGAACAGATTAAGATAGATAGATATAGACAGAATGAAGATGAGATAGATAGATAGATATGAACAGAATGAGATAGATAGATAGATAGATAGATAGATAGATAGATATTAACACAATGTGATAGATAGATAGATAGATATGAACAGATATGTAAGATAGATTGATAAATAAATAGATATAAACAGACAGATAAGATAGATTGATAAATAACAGATTAAGATTGAGATAGATAGATATTAACAGAATGAGATAGATAGATAGATAGATATGAACAGAATGAGATAGATAGATAGATAGATAGATAGATAGATAGATAGATATTAACACAATGTGATAGATAGATAGATAGATAGATATGAACAGAGTAAGATAGATTGATATGAACAGAATGAGATAGTTAGATAGATATGAACACAATGAGATAGTTAGATAGATAGATAGATAGATATATAGATAGATTGACGTAATGGTTGACGTTCTTTCGTCACATTTGATTGATATTTAATTAAAAATCTTCACTTACAAATTAAATGCCAGTTGCACCCTTCTTAAAAAGAGCACTGGCATTTCGCATATGTGATATAAAAGGTCACTGGTGTTTTCGCTTCATAATCATGCTCTTTATCTCTTTCTCCACGCTCTCTCTCACTCTTGCAATATATATATCTATATATCTATGTGTGTGTGTGTGTGTGTGTGTGTGTGTGTGTGTGTGTGTGTGTGTGTGTGTGTCTAGATGCAATGTAATTATGTATATATATATATATATATATATATATATATATATATATATGGGTGCGTGTATGACAAATTCTTTAACCTTCTTTACTACCCTAATTATTTTATATTCAACAGAAAACAAAAAGGTTATAAATTATTTCAAAATAGCAGAGTGGACCTTCATGAGAAAAATGCAATGAATCAAAATATATTATTCTATCCCTCAACTCTGTCTCGACTACAATAAAAAAAAGGTTCTAATCTTAACAAAAATTTGTTGCAACTACGTCAAAATCAATAATAGACTTAATCCAAAACAAAATAATAGGCAAAAACTTGAAGGAGTAATTTCCTTTGTCACCTGTAATAATTGCCACAAGAAATACAGAGGAGAAACTTCAATAAACGATTATATGAACACAAAAGGGATCTTTTACAAAACAACACACTCAATACATCTGTTGCTCACCGTAATAAGACTGACTATAATTTTGCTTTAACAATGCTATTCTAATTAGAAGGGAAAGGTATTTACAAAGACGAAAATGTATAGAAAGTGCTTTAATCGCTAGAACATTCACAGTAAACTTACATCCAGTTTCTTGTAACATTTCACGTTTCTTGTTAGATCTTTTATTATCACAATGTGGCAATTTAATTTTAAAAAGTCCTATAAACTTAAACAAAAAGAAATGAAATCAGCTAGACTACACTCAAACACATATATATTAAAAAAAGAAAAGAAAAAGAATCAACTGTAATTCTCAGCGCTCCCTCTCCTCCATACTCATATATACTCGCATCAACTTAACGCTTTTTAAGTTATGAAAAACTTGGTAATCCGTCATTTTTGGAAGTGCTATCAGATGATATGATCCGGCGTCCTTTAAAAGGGCTCTGGTGAAATAAATTATTATAATGGTACCTTAAAGTTATCTTTTTTTCTTTAATATATATATATATATATATATATATATATATATATATATATATATATATATAACGCACAACCTTAAAACGCACAACATTAAAATTTAAAAATTCAAACTCAGCGTTGCGACGGCACGTTCCAAAACAACAACACATTTCTCATAGCATCTTTTCGGATTACATCTCTATTTTCGTTGTCCTCTTATTACCGAGAAGTAAAAAACAAAAACAAATCTATTTCCATACCTGAGGATGTCTGTAAGAATAGACGAAAGCTTGTAAAAACTAAAAAAGACCTTATGCAACTGGAATTTATAAACAGGGATCATATCATTCATATACAGGTTTGGGGTTGATGTATCTCATTTATATTGTTTGCGAAGATGTATTCTCGCCATTTAAATCATTGACCTCTATATTTGTTTTTTTGTATGAATGATTCATGTAATATATATATATATATATATATATATATATATATATATATATATATATATATATGTGTGTGTGTGTGTGTTTGTAAAAATATATAGAAAATAGGAAGGAACTGGTTAGGTAAATAATCCAAAGTCCCTTAGTATTTTAGTTATTATTTTTAAAATAGTGCTCGATACAAAAGTAGAGCATAAACCTTATAGAAAACCTAATGCTAACCCTTTATATATACACCCGAAGTCAAACCACCCTCCATCCATAATTAAACATATACCCTCATCAATAGAAAATAGAATTAGCATTAACTCCGCTAACAAGGAAATATTCCAACAACACAATGGCTTCTATAACACTGCCCTAAAAAATAGTGATTATAAAAATGCTAACATTAACTATAGAGACAATTGCACTGGCCATAGGAAAAAAAACAGGAAAAGAAAATCATTTGGTACACCCTCCGTTCAACCAAATGGGTAATATTAAACTAGGACAAAAAATTCTTAAACCTAATTGATAAACACTTCCCCACCAATAGTAAGCTTAGTAATATATTCAATAAGAACACCCTAAAATTGAATTACAGCTGCTCTGAAAATCTTGAACGTATAATAAAAAAGCACAATAATAAGATCTTGAACAAACCCCCATGCCTAAACAGTATTAATAAAAAACCCTGCACTTAAATCAGACAATAAAAGGGAAAAATTATGTAACTGTAGAAACCTAGAAGACTGCCCATTAGAAAGTAAATACTGCATTAAATCAGTGGTACACCAATGTACTATATCATTCACTGAGAGCCCTAGCACTAATAAGATATACATTGGGTCCACGAAAAATGATTTTAAAGATAGATGGAGGCAGCATAAGTGTTCTTTCAATAATATAAACAAAAGAAATCAGACTTCCCTATCTAAATATTTTTGGCATTTGAAGGAAACAAATAGGACACCTAAAGTTAAATGGAAAATTATTAACAAGGCTAGAACATGTAAAACTTGGGATGACCCATGTCCTTTATGCCTCCATGAGAAATTGCACATAATTAAGCTTCTAAATAATAATAATCTATTAAACAATAGACACGAGTTAACGGTTTTTTGTAGGCATCATCAGATTTTTGGTTTGAACTATTAGCTAAAAACTAGCATACAATATAATAACTTGTTTAATCCATAGCCCACTCATCAGATTCATGGTTTGAATAATTAACTAAATCATGCATACAATATAACACCCTTCATAATCCATAGCCGAAATAAATAGTTTAAATACCATAAAAAAAGATAACCCTTTATGAAGTCGTCAAAAAACAAACGTTACGACAGTTTTTTTTTTATATGCACAAATCCCTTTCATAAAAAAATAAAATAAAAAAATAAATAAATCTCCATAGACATGCAAACTAGACGAGGGTTAATACATCTTCCGTTTAAAATTTAGACACCCCCACCTTTCCCTGACTTGACATCTATGAAAGTAACTCTATTCTGATACTTATTATTAACACCCAACTCTCGCCTACCCAATTTAAACAATTCTCCCTAGCTGTTACCATGGAAATTTTGATTTCAATTTTTAAAACACGTAAATTTCAGAAACACGTTATTCCAAAAAAAATTTCGCTTGAAGATGGAACAGAGCTTATTTTTAACTCAATTTAATTTAAATAATTATATTGAAGTTTTCGGCTCTTGTTTTGAAACATTTGACTTCTTATGTCGCGATTTGGAATCATATTTTTAATAAAATTAATATATATATATATATATATATATATATATATATATATATATATATATATATATATATACACTAGCTTAAAAGACGCCATAACGGAGTCATTTAAACTAGCGGAGGCATCTAGATTGGGCCTTCATCACACTAGGTAGGGAGGAGTTGACGCGATAAGCAACAATAAGCTACAGATGAACTCAAAATTAATCGCTGCATTTAAGTATTACATTAATATTTAACTTTGGAAAAATCGACGATAATTCTTCTGTCGACGCTTAATTT